TGATGGTGAGAGGTTGATTAAATCAACAGCTGTTTTGACGGCTTCTCCCCAGAATGATTTCGGCAATCCGGCATTGGATAACATGCTTCGGACCTTCTCTTCAATAGTTTTGTTCATCCGCTCAGCCAATCCATTCAGCTGAGGTGTCTTGGGGGGCGTCTTCTCTAGTCGAATCCCGGCCGCTCTGCAGTATGCATCAAATGGGCCGCAATACTCACCACCATTATCAGATCGGACCACCTTCAATTTCTTGCCAGTCTCCCTTTCAACCATAGCATGGAATTCTTTAAATGATTGGAGTACCTGGTCTTTAGTCTTCAACAAATATACCCACACTTTGCGGGAATGGTCATCAATAAATGAAACAAAGTACTGAGCTCCTCCAAGAGATTTCTCCGACATAGAGCAAACATCAGTATGGACGAGGTCAAGAATATACCTGCGTCGTCTTGGTTGATCCGGTCTCACAAAAGAAACCCGGTGCTGCTTTCCAGCTAGGCAGTGCGTGCAACTCTCCAACGCTTGGCCTTTCAACCCAGTCAGTAATCCTTTCTTGTTCAGGATCTGGAGCCCTTTCTCGCTTATGTGGCCGAGGCGCTTGTGCCATAGCTCCAAGCTAGGTTCATCTCGAATAGAATTGGCTTCTCCGCCATTGATCTTTCCTTGCATCACGTACAAGGAGCCTTCCTTCTTACCTCGGGCCACGACCAAGTTTCCCTTGGCCAGCTTCCATCTCACACTACCGAAGTAGTTCACTAACCCGACATCATCAAGTTTGCCTACCGAGATTAGGTTCAAATGCATGTCAGGAACATGCCTCACATCCTTCAACACAAGTCGGCATCCGACATCTGTGGTCAGAGTTACATCACCGACACCAACAATCTTGCTGGTCACCTGATTTCCCATCTTCACGACTCCAAAGTCACCACCTCGATAAGAGGAGAAAAAACCTTTGAGTGGAGTAACGTGGAAGGAGGCACCAGATTCAACAATCCAGGTGCAGTCATCATATGCAACATTCAAATAATTATCTTCACCAAGGAGGAATATCTCAGCATCAGGGTTTGCAGCCACCGCAGTGGTGCTCTTGTCTTCCCTCTTCTTGGGAATAATCTGATCCGGCTTCACAGAGCCGTTCTTCTCATCATTTTGTAGGGTCCAGCAGTCTGGCTTCTTATGGCCTGTCTTTCCACAGTAAAAGCACTTCAACTCATATTTCGGCTTTGACCGACCTCTGGACTTGTCTCGTCTGTCACGACCTCTACCTCGGCTTTTGCTTCTACCGCGGGAGTCGGATTTCCCTTTGTTCTCAGCAACGTTGGCCTCAGACGTACTCGAAGTACCTCGTTCTCTTCTCCTGGATTCTTCGCCAAGGAGGTTGTCTGTCACGACATCCATCTTCAATTTTCCATCTGGGGTCGAGTTATTCAGGGTCACCACCAGAGTATCCCAGCTTTCTGGCAGCGAGCTCAACAGCAGCAATGCCTGCAGTTCTTCATCAATTTTCATATCAGCCTTTGACAGCTGATTCACAATACCTTTGTATGTATTCAGGTGTTCAATCATGCTCATACCGTCCTTGTATTCAAGCTTAACAAGTCGGCGAACCAGGTGTGCTTTGTTCCTGGGAGTCTTCTTCTGAATCATGGACTCTAATTTCGTCCACAACTCATACGCGTTCGTGAATTCGGACACGTGCTCAAAGAGGCTTTTATCAATATATTTCCTGATCGTGGCTACCGCCTTCCGACTCAGGATCTCCCACTCCTTATCTGTCTTGCCTGCTGGTCTCTCATCTAGGATAATGGGCTCAAGCAAATCTTTGCAGTAGAGATGATCTTCCATCATCGGTCTCCAATATGTGAAATTATCTGCGGTCAACTTGAACATATATCCATCATGAGTTATGCCACTGGTCTCCATCTCGTCTCCCTCAGAACCCGTCGAACTCGGGCTCTGATACCACTGTTGGGAAAACTCGGTTCCCTCAAGCTCGGCTCAGGGGCCTTTGTGCGGAAGTCAATCAACAAGATCCTGATCTCGGATCTCGGCAATACCTCAGCCTGAACTTCATCACCAGGTCAGGCAGCGCAGCGGAAAAATCAAAACGAAAACAGGAGAGAGAAGAAGAACACAACCAGATTTAACGTGGGAAAACCTTCTTGAATGAAGAAGTAAAAACCCACGGGACCTAGTCCAGATCAGAAATCCACTATGGAAATAATGGTTACAAAGAATCAAATACACCAATGTTGTGGTTAACTCAACCTCTCCAACAATGGTGATAATCAAACTACCCTAAAGATGTTTCACTCAAACTCTCTCTAGAGATCTCTCAAATGCAAAGCATAAAGCTTTTGCTCAAACAATCAAATAATTCTGTCAAATTTGTTCTCTCAAATCTGACCTCTCAAAAATCTGCCCTCTCAGATCTCACCTTGCCTCCACCCACAACAATGAGTATATATAGAGGAGGTGGAAATTAGGGTTAGGGATTTTAGAAAACCCCTCAAACGGGCTTGGGCTTAGCATTGAAGGAGGAAGCCCAACATTTAAAGGGAGCAGCTGAATGAATGGAAGAGAGAGAAAGTCCATAGAACACACAAATATTAGAAAGGAGGGAAAGAAAAGAAGGAAGTAGAAGCAAGAAAACAAAATGACATTGCATAAAATGCACATACAGTGGTAGTGTTTTTATGCGCCTTCGTGTGTCAATATATGAAGCGCGCTTGGATTCCACGTGCATCTTAACGTGCACCACTATCCTTCTAGCATTATATTGGTAAATTGTTTATCAAAAGAATTAAATTGATATATTGTTTAATATTTTGCTTTATAGGGATGAAAATGTCCCTTTATTCCTTCATAGACACTCATGATTTTAGCATATGAAACTTATATATATGAAAATATAACCAATAACTGTTATAGACACATAACACACTTGTAGAGTTGCATATTTTGATTAATAAATTAAGTGATTACTAAATTAGTCTATAAATAAAAAGTTCTAGTGACAATGCAATGAGCTGTAAATATCATACAATCCTCGCCCTATAAAGAAATGAGATATCAAAGTCTACTTTTGGACTTTTTCATAGTTTTTTTAGATATTTTTTCTCATTTTTCTATAATCTAGCACTTGGGTTGTAACCATTAGCTTAATTTGTAGTTTGAAATCGGTGGTTAATAATTTCATCAACAACTCAAAATACAATTGTATTTGAAGCCATCAAATTCATGTTGATTTCAATACTTACTATACTTCATTGTCCATATTTGTATGTTTACCATTTCACTTGATATAGTTTATGAATTATAAAAGTTTATGCACTATAATTGAGTTATTCTAACAATTATTTATGAAGTCAAATGTCATTGGAAATATTGAGGTTGTTTATGCATGACTATGTGCTTAAGGATCGACAAAAACTATCATAAATATGGAGAGATAGATCTAAATCTCCATTAAAAAAAAATTCTAGAATTTGTAAGGCCATGAATTATTACATGTAATTAATTTTGAAACTTAAAATTTAAACCCAAAACTGATTTTTCTCTTAAAATATCTAGTTACATTTCGAATCGTTGAGAAGGTGGAGGTTAGCATCTCTTTCCATTAAGTTATGAAGTATGATCTATGTAACAGGGGTCCAAATGGAGCAAAAATATTGAGAATTATATCTCTAAAGGAGGATCTAAGTGTGCTAAAGCTCATGAGGTAATTGTGCAAAGGAGGAACAAATGTATTTGGGCAGAGATATAATATCCAATTCAGTGGAGGAGACGAAGGTCCTGTACTCATGGTGATGAGCTAATTTATAGGAAGGAGAACGTTCTCTTGCGGTTAACGGTCTGCTGCCAAACTGTTATGCCCATATAGTTCCACGGGGGAGAATATTTTTAGTGCTATGGATACACCGAGTTTTTGGTACATCTTTTATTCACAATGTGATATATATTTTATTTTTGTCAAATTATTAATAAATAATTTATTTTAAATTCAGGTGAAAGAACAATGTAATAAAAGTAAGATACATATCACGTTATGAATTAAAAATGCACCAAAAATTTAATACATTCATTGCACTAAAGAAATTTTCCTCCTGTGGTGCATGAGTCAGCATACCCTCACGAGAGTGTGAGGCATGTATGCACTGGGGTTAGGTGTAATCGTGTAAAAGAGAATTTTTTTGGTAGTGAAAATATAGAGACTCGTACAGGATGAGAGTGACCCCATGATGAATCTAGTAGATCGGTCCAAAACATTTTCAATAACTAATTTAGTTAATATAGAGTTCGAGATTAATTATATTTTAATTGAATTACACTTCTAAATAGATTATTTTAACAACATTTGAATTTTTTGACTTTCCAAAGAAGCCTCATTCTCAAACTATAATTTGTGAATAAGATTCTGGTTAATTATATTTTTCAACCAATTGAGTTACATTTCATTTTTAATTTTTTTATTATATATATGTTGTTTTATATCTTACTTATTTGACTTTTAGGTTTCACTAAAATATTCAAATGCAACAACTGCATTTAGATGCACAAAAGACTTAAATATTTATATAACTTATCTGTATATGAAAAATAAGGAGTCAAATAATAAAGGAGATTTTTGTAATGCGACCTTTAAAAATAAAATAAAAATTGACTAGAATATTTCACAGAGAACTTCATTTATTTAACATGACAATTTATTAACCTCGAGTGCAATTTATGTGACAAAAGAACAAAATTTCTTTCAAATTTAGAACGATGGATGTGCAAAGTAGGAAATTGATATTTTCTATAAACTCTCTTCAAATTTTACCTCTCTAATATTATTGAATTCCATTGGATGAAAATGCACATTTTTATTGAAAGAAGTGGACCACACCCTTAAATGATCCCAGGGTTCTTTAAACGTTGTTGACCTAATATTGTATTCTTTATATAATGAAATAACTCTAATTTGGACCTCACCAATCTCAAGTATATGGGCCTAGTTACCTTAAACCAAGTACTCTCTGGCCAACCAAATCACAATGTGCATGAGCCAAACCAACCCTAGATTTCACAACATCAAACTCCACCCACATGTTCTGTTGTTGGTAATGACCAATGATGAAGGCTTCAACACCCAGTAGATCCGAGTTCCCAAATGTGAAGCAATAAACCGAATCATTCCCTCGGATCTGACCCGGTACCCGATATAAAAGCTGTTCACCCGAAACTCTCATCTCGGCCCCTTCAAAAACTAAACTAACACTTGGTAACTCGGGTAATTTTGATTGGTTCATGGGTACCCGGTAACAAAGATCTATTGCTATTTGAAACACAAAATTCGGATCATCCAATACCCGTAGGGTATTATTTGTTTGACTCAAAAACTCACCTCTCAATGCACTATAAACCGGGCCAAGTAAGAACGTGAATTGGGTACCTAAATCGAACATGGTCTGACCCGACCCGGTATGATCCGGAACAAATATGGTACCCGATATATTAAGTAACTTATTTGAAACCTTGATTCCCTTGAGCCGAACCGTGTATGCTGCCCGGTCGAAGTAGGGTAAGGGTGTAGAGATTTGAACCAATGGTGTGTAGTTCAATGACCCGACCCATGAGAAATTGGACCCTCCGAGAATTAGAATGCCCGAGAAATCTGAACCCGATATACAGTACGAGAATTTGGGTATCTTTAGCTGGGAAATTAAAGACAGTGACCCGAGATTCATACCCATTAACCCGGTTGTGTTGGTGTCTTCATCGGAGTTGCTGCTATAGCTCGAGTTCATGCACCCGAATACAATTCCCGGGTTATCGGATCCCCCGAACCCGAATGTGTCAGAAGCGAGCTCCCCTTCAGAGGAAGAAGAATCAGCGTACGAGAGAGTGGCATGGCATAGGTTGTTGGAGTCACAGGAAGCGGGAATGGGGAAATCCCGGGTCCGGATCGTGCAGGTGGGTGAGGAGCAAGAGATGGGTGAGAAGGTGGAAGATCGGGTCGGGTTAAAAAACGGGTCGGGTAAGACCCGGCTGATAGGGGCGGTGGTGGAATTGGTGGTGGTGGTGGTGTTGTTGCAGTGAAGCCATGAAAGCTCGCTTCCTGTGTCAATGACCATGGACACGTTCTGTGGAGGTTTGCCAACTGTGATGGAGACAGTGAGGCTTACATTGTGGTGAAACCGAAGCTTATTGGGTGGTCTTGGGAGATACCCAGATGGAATAACTTGTGATTTGAGTGGTAAAGCTAGCATCTTGGCCTCAGAGTAGTAATGATTGATCTGGTTGATGTCAAGGGTAGTTTGTAGAATGAGCAAAATGAGAAGTTTGAGATATGGGTTTGTGGAAATGGTGTGGTTTGTGTACGAGGTTTGAGGTCTCATCATGGTTTTTTGAATGTTGCAAAGTTTATAAAAAACTGTTTTTTATGTTTTTGGTTTGGGAGAGGCTAAATAGAGGGTTATGGGGTTTGCCTTTTTTCACAAGATACATTTTGTGTAATTATGTGGAAAGTATAGTAAATTTTGGGGACAAGGAAAAGTAGGAAATTCCTTGTGTTATAGGTAAGAGACTCTCTCTTCCTCTGCTCAAGTAAAAGATCTGAGAAAGGGTTGAGATGAGATCTACCACAACACTCTGCATGGACCTTGTACCATAGTACTTAACTAACATTTGTTTTCTGTTTGGTAAGTGTATGTCAGGGCGTATCTATGTATATATATATTAGATTTGAATTCATTCTTCTGATATATGTTTTTATTCTTTGTTGGACTCTGTTTCAAGAAGTGATTCGAGTTTGCTTTTTCTCTTTCTTTATAATAATTAGCTGTTGTTGACATGGCTTAAATGGTATACATGTTAGGTTGTCTATAGAAAGGGGAATAGGGAGTTCAGTTCATGTCATATGTGGGAGCAAAATTGTCTACTTATTATGAACTTGTGGAAGGCTATGGAACAAGTTTATTTAGGTGAAATTAATGATGAATCAGATCCGCTAAACACTTCCTTGTAGATGAGATCATGGCCCTATAAATTTAACTACAAGCTTTAAGCCTTTAACCCCACCATATGGTAGTTAAACTGTCAAATAATTGAGATTGGCTTCTTTTCTATTTTGGAAACCTAAAAATTAAGGTTCTTTTCTCTATGTTAATGCTATCACAGAATGTTCCACCTTGCCTAATCAAGCAGCCTAGCTCAAAAGGAATTTTTTCTATCTTTGTTTTTGATGAAGCTGCCTAATCAAGCAGCCTAGCTCAAAAGGAATTTTTTTCTATCTTTGTTTTTGATGAAGCAAGTTAAGCAGAAAAGTTATTAGATGTCTAATTGTATGAAAATAACAAGGGCTAGATAGAGTTTTCTAGCAAATATTGAAGGTAAATCTTGTCAAGAGAATGCTTTGGTCAATTTAAATAAATGGATTGCATGGTTTTATGTAGAAAATTGGTAGAAATAAGTAAAGAAATTAATCAAATCATCCAAAATTCAATTAGAAAATTATATTTAATCAATTGGTCCTAGTTTAAGAGTCCATTGATTTGACAAATAACATCTTATGAAGTTACAATACAGTACTTATATGAACATCATAATGCATAGTGCCCGGTTGCAAAATTTCTGATTTGCTTACTCTATTAGGGAATAATTGCAAAAGAACTTGTGTTGTGTCAAAGGCATGGCTTCATAAGCAGTTTTTCTTGGTTGTTGCAGATGCCAAGAAATTATCTCAAGGCAAAGCACGTGATGCTTTGCTTGATCAGGATATGTATGGATGTTTAAGAAATTGTTCTTCTCGTTTGCTTCTTAAAATAAAATGTATACTCCTGTAAGATATGCTTGAGTTTGAATACAAATGTGTTGTCTATTTCATTTTCAGTACAAGTTCAGCTTATCTCACTTTCAGCTCTATTAAATATTATTCTTATGATGTGGTCCTTTATACACGAAAGTTCTACAATGAGGCTTTGTATTGAACCTACTAATTCTTAGGAAAGAAGCATCCATACAGTATGGATTTTTTTTTTCTTAGATGTTTTACACTAAACTTTTAGATATACTTGTTAAATATTTGTTAATGAATACATTCAGGGAGACATTTCGATTTTAATTATAGTGTTTTCATTATAGTGCTCAATCTCCGAATGCATCAAACAAAACTCTACTTAGCAGACTCTTCATCAAACCGATTCAAACCGCGGTGATCGAATCGAAAAATCGATAATCGAATAAATCGAAAATCGAAAAATTGAAAATTAAAAAAAAAAATCGCAAATTTTAATTGGATTGGATTGATTTTCGGATTGGTTGATGAAAACCGATCCAATCCAAACTGATTTAATATATTAATTCTCTTCTACCTACTTAGGTTTTTCCGTGATCATAGCCTAAAAATTTCTAAACCCAAGATCCATTAACCCATCAACTAAACCCAAGGAAAAATCTAGTCACATTTCATCAACAAAATTTCATCTGTGTAGAGCTTCATATCCCATTGCTCAAAAAACAAAACTGTATTATCTTTTACTAAAGCTTTTGTATTTCAAAAAAAAAATTACAAAGTCAATATATACAAAAGATATTATTTGCACAATAATCATGAAATAAATTTTAAGATTTTCAAAAAATTAAAAATTGATCCAATCCAAAACTGAAAAAAATTGGATCAGATCGAATCGGATTTGAAAAAAATACAAACCAAATAGATGATTTCATGATGAAACCAAAATGAGCGCTAAGATAGGATGTAGCACTAAGCTACAATAAGTCTAAACCCTGAACAAATTTGAGGGACAAGAATGACATACTAGCAACATTGAACTAGGTACGAAGTAGTCAATCAGATGATCACGTGGCCCCTATTGGATTCCTCTTTCCCATTTGTCGGTGATGCCAACTAATGTTTAATGCTGCAGCACATGTTGTGTTGTATTGCTTTAGGACACAGCCTCATGGTTCAGGGACCAATCCATTTTCAAAATAAGTTCCAATTCCATCTTATTATTTGTCTGTCACAGCATTTGGCTTAAGGTCATTTTTTCTTGCCTCATTTCAGAAATGGTAACCAAATTTTACTTCCACATTTCAAGTTGATAAAAATATCTAGTTATTTACAATTATTAAAAGGGAAAAAAAGTATCATTTAAAAGGACATAAGTTGTGTCATTTTAGATGATTTATACAAAGTATAACCGGTCATACTTTGTGTAAATTTGAAAAGTTACTTTTTTTCTCTCTCCTCAGTCACATCGCTGACGTGTAAATTGAAAAAAAAGTAACTTTTCAGAATTACACAGAGTATGACCAGTCATACTCTGTGTAAGTCACTAAAAGAACAAAACTTGTGTCCTTTAAATGACATACACTAAACTCTTATTAAAAAGCCAAAAATTGACCAAAAAATTATAATAATAGAGCATGAAAAAGTAAGTTTCACATTATAAAAAATGGGGTACTTAAGACCTTAAATTTTTTTATGATTTATTATTGAAGTGAGACTTGTTACCATGATCTTACCACAAAACATATTTTGTCTTGGACCTAAGTCCATAGGTAATTTACTATAAATATTGCACCAGCAAGTTTCTTCTTTGTTGGTTCATCTCATGTGATTTTAACAGTTAATATTACGCTGTACATCAGAAATTTAATAAAACTTGTAGAACTAACTTAGACAAAACTGTATACAAAGCAGAGAACTAGATTGGTAGAAGCTTCTGCTATTGATATTAATTTTCATCAGAAATAGAGTACAATTCGTAGACATATTACAAACAAACAGGTATAGTTCATCTCAACTCAGTACAACCAATTACTAAAAACATGGGTCATAATCCTTTTCTTATGCTTACACATCCACTATAGTTGGTTCAAACCAGAAAATATAAACACAACTAAAAATCCAGACTTGTAAATATCTACAGAAGTATAAATATGTAACACAAACCCAGAAAATGAGAGAGTTTTAGATGGAAAAGATCATTGTAACAATCTAGAAAAGTCTAAATATATGACACAAACCAAGAAAATTAGAATTTTAGATGAAAAAGACCATTGTATCAGTCAGTCCCCATCGCCAAATATTCTTGCAACAGCTGAATGTGTTCCAACAAAAGCACATACCGCCCCCACAATAATAATCAAAACGCAACTTGTTATCTGAAAATCAAAATTTAAGTAACATACCATAAAATTAGTCTTAGAATATTAAAATGTTTATGAATGATTTGAAAGGAGAGTTAACTTTCTACCTGCACTTTTGATAATCTGCCACTATGTAGCTTGAGATAACATGCACAAGGATAAATAAGTGCCTATCATTGTATCAAAAAATAAAACAAAAAAATAAGTGCCTATCACGAAACATGACAAATGTCAATGTCAACATTGTGTTTATCCCAAACTAGTTGTGTCGCGAAAACATGACAAACAAATACGTTCAGTCGATGTTCTTTAAAAGGACACAAGTTGTGTCCTTTTAGTGATTTAACAAAATATGACCAGTAAGATTTTCTGTAAATCTGAAAAGCTTTTTTTTTTTACTTTACATGTTAACGATGTGATTGGGGAGAGAGAATTTTTTTTTTTTTTTTCAGATTTACACAGTTTTACTGATCAGACTTTGTGTAAATCACCTAAAAGGACACAAGCTTGTATCCTTTAAAAGGATACTTCTTTTTCCCAAACAAGAGTGAACACGAACAGAGTACTTACAATTAACATTGACATAAAAGAACCAATTAGTGCCATCAAAGAACCTGCAGTAAATTTGAAAGAACAGATCATCAAACAACACAAATTAGTGCTCTATAATGTTACTTGAATGGTTTCATTTTTTACATGAACCTCCCCTTTCCTTAGCCCCCAATATTGTGTATCTTGGAATGAAAGTGTCCCTCCAAAAGCCACAAAAAGAAGAAACAAATACAGAAAAGCCATGCAAAAAGGTAGTAGTAGTAGTAGTATGTAAATACTTACCAAAATATGGAACAAAGAGTGCTACAACTAAACTTGAAATCACTAAAACTGTTCTGACAAGAACAGAAGTAGCATGACTTCTTAGTCTAGGAGAAGGGGCGAGTTCCTCTATGCTCAATGCAATAGGCAATAATGTTAAGGCATATTTTGCCAGTGGAGTCACAACCTATAAAACAAATAAATTTGTTAAAAAAAATGTCATTAAGCAAACATAAATTAATTTTAGAGTGGAACTGAAAGCGTTCTTTTATTGAACCTAGGAACCTAACTACCTTCAATCATTTGCTATTTTCTAAAAGACAACAAAGAAGATTAATTTTTCTTTCTTACAGTTGTCCAGGTAGCGATTTTGGATGCATATAATTCCTTTGGCATGTTTAAGGGAAACTGAGATTCAACTGAGTCACCAAACGTTAAATAGCCAATTGTTCCTACACTCATGTACATAACAAGACAAAAGGCAAAGCTGCAGAAGGGAAAAAAAAAATTAACAATTCTCTCAACCAAAACTACTATAATATTTGATTGTAAATCAAAAACAAAATATACCAATTTGAATAATGGTGGGGTTTCTGCTTACCTGGCATACAGAACTGATGGGAATTTTGATGGTTCCTTCATGGAAGAGTAGACGTTTGGAAAAACTGCATGGCCAGCAAAGCCAAAAGCATAGAGACCAATTGAGACAGATATGTTTTCCATGTCTAAAACTTTTCCTCCTGGCTTAAATCCAACTTGTTGTATCTCCCCAACCCAAAACAAGCAAAATGCAATAAGTATTGTTGCAAATATTCCTCCAGCTGAGCACAAAGGTAACTATTGTTAATTAGCAGCTAAAATTGAAAGATAGAAATTGTAAAATAGGGAAAAAGAAGTATCATTTTAAAGGACATACTTTGTGTCCTTTTAGGTGATTTACACAAAGTATGACCGGTCATACTTTGTGTAAATATGAAAAGTTGCTTTTTTTCTCTCTCTCCCCAGTCACATCGCTGACGTGTAAAGTGAAAAAAAGTAACTTTTCAGATTTATATAAAATATGACCAGTCATACTTTATGTAAGTCGCTAAAAAGACACAACTTGTGTCCTTTTTTAAATGACACACACTAAACCCTTGTAAAATAACATATAATGGTGATCAATAAACCTGAAATATAAGAAAGCAGGCTTAGATTTTTCAGCCAAACTGTTGGTAGAACAAGAACAGCTGCTGTGATTGCAAAAGTTTGATGAGTTCCAAAATCAGTCCCAGCAAATCTCATGTGGGTGTTAGGAAACAATGACGAGAGGTTATCACTGATTAGTATTATATACTCAACACAAGCAGCCTACACATTATAAGAGCTATTCACCTTTCAGTACATATGGGAATCAATAGAACCAAAGAATATAAACAATTTCAAATAGATCAAATTCTTGCACTTACAAACAGTTCCATGTACAAAATGATCTGCATTTGGACACAATGATAGTTGTTAGTTTTCCCTCTATATTCATGCATGCACACACAACAATTATTGTATATGCCTATTGAAATCATTATTTGATACTCACCGCAATCCCTAGGCGACCAGCAAATCCAAAAGCAGCTTGGCCAATATCTGGATAGGTTTTGAGTCCAGGGTGGCTTTCTAAACATCTCTTCAATAAAATTCCAGTATAACAGCAAATGATAGAAAACAGTAGAAGTAATATAAGGCTTAACCACCCTCCTTCTTTTACTGCATATGGAATGGTAACAATTCCTATCCCACATAATATATTGGTTCCTACATAGAAAACAAGATTTATATAAAAAATTTAGCGTGTATTGTGTAAGATATATATTAGTGATTATATGGAGATGAAAATTTGTAGAATGAAGATTATATTCACCATTTAATACTGATTGTGCAAATGAACATTGCTGCTGTGGTGGTGGCAATTCACTAGCAGAAAATTTTGTACAGCTAGATACAAGTGATGGCACGTGTGTTGAGGTTGGTTCCTCTTGTTTGGATGAACTTGTCTCGGAAACAAGAGGTATAATCAATGAAGAATCATCTTGATATTCCTGAGGTCGCTGGAATGCTGTAGAGAGAGAGCTACTTCTCCCTTTTGAACCAATTCTCCTTAGGAAAGTAATTCCGGGTGGTGTTACACTAGTTAACATGTCCATAGATTGCCTGCACATAATGAAAAAAGAAAAAGAAAAAGGATTTAGTATATTGTTGCTTATAAACAATCTGTTTCTTTCAATTTCAATCACATTAATTACTTACTTGTTCTGTTCTGTTTAGAATTTTGTTACAGCACTTTTCCGGAACAGTGAGCAAAATGTCATTGTTCACCAAGTTTTTTACCTAAATGCCATGCGAACAGTGTTATTTCCCAATCTGCCACGGGGCAAGTTCGCTACCCAGTGTAGCGAACTCGGTTTGCTGACGTGTCATGTTTTTAGTGGACACCAAATTCGCTACACGGGGTAACCAAGTTCGCTACCCAATGTAGCGACCTTCATACTTTTTTTTTTTTTTTTTTTAACTTGGTACTTGTTATCCACTAGAAACGTGACACGTCAGCAAACCGAGTTCGCTACACCGGGTAGCGAACTTGCCCCCGTGGCAGATTGGAAAATAACACTGTTCGCGTGGCATTTAGGTAAAAAACTTGGTGAACAGTAGCATTTTGGTTGGTGTTCCCACTTTTCCGGTGTATAGAAACAAAAAAATTTTGTATTTAAATTGTAGCGAATCCATAACCATTTTTTAATGAGTACCAACTTACTCCCCTAACTGTAGTTTTATATTAATACTTACCAAAGTGCATGAAAATTCATGTCATATATATCATTATGAAACAGTGAACTTCTATGTGTGTATGATCATGCATTAAAATCTGTTCAAATGCATACTCATATTCAGATTTATTTTCCTACGAATTCTCAATTGCTGGCGACCATAACCATGCATGAATTACACAAAAAGTAGAAGCTCTAAGACCAACACGTTTTTATGTTAATATGGGCAGTGATTTGTTTCTGAAACTGACAAATAGACCAATGCAAATCAAAGGCCAAAAGTCAAAAAAAAAACAAAAGGCAAATTATAATAGATGAAAAACAGAAAGTGGAAGTGATGACATATATAAGTTCTCCCAAAAAAACAAAACAAAAACTCAAACAACAAAGATTATAAACAAATGAAGGGTGATTTTACCAATAACTTTGTGGCCATGTGGGACTAATGGCAGCCTCGTTGGACAAATTTCGTGAAGGAGGTGAGTTATCTGACTCGGTATCATCATCATCCAAAGTTTCAAACACCCTATCTGCCTGGTTTTCTTCATCATCAGTTTGAAAATCATCCTCCCGATCAGGACCCAGATCCTCATCTAGCTTCATCTTCTCCTCTCTGCATGGCAAAGCCACACACCCTTTTGAGAGGTTGTAGGGTTATATATTTTCCTTTGCTCTTAACGTATATTAAAAGCATAAAGAGAAAAAGAAAACAATAATATTATGATTCTCTTGGAACTGAATTCTAAGAAAAAACACGAATGATGAGGTTGCTTTGTACAACGTTGTTTGCGTTCAGGATTTTTAGTTACATGATGGATGTGACAGCTTGTAATATTAATTATAGGAAACTATATGTGACAGACAGTTGAGGTGTCCAAATTTAACGTTTTTGTTTTTGTAAGAATTATGATTGAATAAATAAACTCATAAAGGAGCAATTAAGAATTTGTTATGCATGAGTTTGGAGCCGCTCTTAATTACTTTCTTGTTAATCAAAGAACAAGGAATACTGACCCATTTGCCACTAAAAAAAAAAAAAAAAAAAAAAAAAAGTAAATATCATTTTTGGTCCTCATCAAATTTCACGATGCTCACTTTAGTCCCTAGCAAATAAAAAGGTCCATCGTGGTCCTTAAGAAATTCAAAATGGACACATTTTAGTCTTTCTAGGGACTAATATGGGTCTTTTTTAAATTTGTGAGGGACCACGATTTCAACTAAATTGGTCCATTTTGAATTTCTTAGGGACCACGATGGGCCTTTTTATTTGCTAGGGACTAAAACAGGCATCGTGAAATTTGCTGAAGACCAAAAAGGGTATTTACTCTAAAAATAAATAAATTGCTTAGCTTCCACGCGAATAATAAAATTTCCTAAAATGTCACGCGTGCAAGTTTGCTATATTAGGTAGCGAACTCCGTTGACGTGTCACGTTTTTTGTGGCAACCTTGTTCGCTCCTGGTACTAGCGAACTAGGTGATAAATAATGCCAGTCTCCTCTGAACAAAAGTAAAACACGTGTCAGCCTCTCCCAAGTTCGTTGTACCTTCTAGCAAACTATGAGTGAAAATGACAGATACAACGTGTTTCTGCTTTTTATCATTAAATTGCTTTTGCTATTCAACATCATCTTCAATTACTTTATGGGAAACGCTTTTGGTACTTTCATATTTTATATTATATTTTTTATTTCACATTAAATACCAAATGCATTTGGCATTCTCTCTCATAGTTCGCTAGAGGGTTGTAACACTCTGTCAGTAGCCGGTTAATTAACATTCATATGATAGTAAGTGCAGCATGCTCAACATAATTAATGTGAAAGCTAACTGAATAAATTTTCTCTTTTTCTTTATGTATTGCAAACTTTTTCACTTCCATTACCAAAATAAAGCAGACAACATTTCATCTATATTTTGAACCACTGGAGATAATTTCCACCATGATAATCTCAACTCGATTGACAGTTTAATATAATCCAGGCATACCACAACATAGATAAAACATATTGCCCAACTATCCATGGCCTAGGCTATCTCATAATCATACTGTCTCAAAATAATGTCAATGATGTTACTTATATAATTACATCAAATAAACAAAAGAGATGCAATTAAATAAGTAACATAGACCTAAGCATGCATCACTAACAGCATGTACAGACTATTGACATGACATTGACACTCTCTATGCTCTCCAAAAAAATAACATAGAATATATACATATCCAAAATAGGACCCTGCCAAGTATATATCAAAACGACAAGTTAATCCTGACTATCAGGTCAGGTGATATCTCTCTTCTGGCTTCTTGTTATGCGATGCCTCAGCATCATCAGCTCATGTACCTGAAATGGTAATTCCCATAATGCGAGGTGAGATAATATAATTACCTCAGTAAACCAAGATCCTAGGAGGGCTCTTCCACCCCTAAGCGCACTTCCGGTATAATCATTGTACATAAAATATCCATGCATGCATCAGAATATGTATGACAATCTAGTGTGCAAATAATAAATCCTACTAGCCAGAGAATATAACAAGTATGTATTACGCAAGGAAACACCGTCTTGCAACATACCGTATGAGGAAACACTGTCTCATACTATGCATAAGGAAACACTGTCTTATGCCTCACACAAAAAAATATCATCTTGTATGGCACACAAACATACATACATATATATGCAACATATAACATTCATATCCACATACTATATAAAAGTACCATCCTCCCTCGGAGCCTAGTGGAACAAACGAGGGATTAACCCCAAGGACCAAAAGCTTACCTGTCAAGCATTGTCCTCTAATGCACTCCTTGTATCCAAGGGGTCATAACCATAATCTCTCACAATATCACAGCCTATTCCAAATATGTGAAGACAATCAGTACATATATACTAGTCTACCACATTCAATTTTGAAGACTACATATACAAGACACCTGCACTTGATTTTTAGTCTAATTTATCAAAGTGTTCTAAATGGCAATTTCATAATTTTTCCTTTTACGAGAACCAATCCCAATCATATTTAACAAAGGAACTCGCATACAAATCACCTTCCAACTACTCATACCATTTAATTTTCGAAATTGACATATAGTAAAAAACCATGATTTTCTATAGTGATCGAAACAGTGATTTCTTTTCTTTTTTTTGTCATTTATCAAGAAGCAATCCTAAGCATTAGGGGTGAAAGTGGGCTGGGCTGGGCCGAGCTTTGCCCCGTAAAGCCCAAGCCTATGTCAAAAACTTTCAATTTGGCCCGGCCCAATAGCATAGTATGAGTCTAACTGTTAGCCTGTCTTGGCCCATTTATAAAAAAAATAAATGGCCTGGCCCGGCCCATTGGCCTGTTAATTTTTAACTTCCAAGCAGACCATGAATCAACTCCACAAAATACTCAAATTCTATTGTTAAAACAAAAATCACAATTTTAACGTCCAAACAGAACCATGAATCACAACAATAACTCATCACAATCTGCATTTAAGTCATTGTCAAAAAGCAAAATGCTCAAACTAAATAACATATATTTCATCAGATCTAACAAGTCAATCCATATTATGTAAATTAAAATAACTTTATGAATGCAACAAACACATCATGATGACTACAAGAGTAGCCAAAAAATTATCTTCATCTTCTCTCCCCTGCAAATACAATTCCAAGGCTACATAAGTTGGCAAATAATTTGTAAATGTAGAAAAAAAACAAGAATAAAGAATAGAAACAAAAAAACCAAGATTAAGAAACAAAAAAACCTTTTAATAGATTCACATAGGCAATCTCACATGTTGAAATGTTAGTTCCTCCTACATAAAAATAAAGTCAAAGTTCAATTAAAATTTAATCGAATATAATTAAGACAAATAATATATGTACTGTTGCAATAAGAGACTTTTCATATGACAAATAACCTTAATTTAACATAGATATGTCATTATACAGCCCATTTTCATTTATCATATTTTGTTCTATATATAAATTGACACAAATCGTAGAATGCTTTAGTCTTTCTTCCTTAGATAACTTCTTTCACTTAGATCAATATCATTAAGCTAGAAATTAATCATGGAAAATTATTTTAAATAAAGCATGGATTCAAGAATATTTTTAAAGAAATTTTAATGTAGAATCATACCATAAGCATATTTAACAGAGTTAATAAGGATGCAGGAAGTGCAAGTTCTCCTACTTATAACATAAATGAGTTTGCTGCTTTTGCCATTTTATCATTACATGATTTACTAATCTCTTTAATACTTTCCTAATAATCTGAACCACTGTTACTTATAGCAGTGGTCCTACTCCAAGTGGAGAACTGACATTTCCATCAAAATGACACTAACTAACATCAGAAACGAAAGCTAAACTGAAGTTCATCTTCTCTTTCCACAATTTTATTTTATTTTTTCTTCAATGACTTTAATTCCTAAAAAAAAGTATTAGATCAATTTTCTGTACAGATGATCAAGCATGCAAGGAATAAATTAAAGCAATAATGGCATATGAATTGCATAAATAAACGATTAAAGAAAGGAAAAACGAAAGAAGCTCACAGGATCTGAACCGAGCAAGTGGCTAGTGGGAAGGCCGGTGTAAGATTCCTCCATGGAATACAATACAATGCAGAGAAAGCAACGCGCAACAAAACCTCGTTAGTTCAAACAACCAGAAATTAATTTTCCCCCCTGCAACTAGAAATTAGCAATGAAACTCCAGAACTCTGACTGCTAATTTAGATTTTTTTCTGAAAAAAATCTAATCTACCATGTAATTACTTGCTCTTCATCTATGTTTATTATTATGCAAAACAGGGAGAAAAGTGATGGAGTTGAAGGTTTGGATCTACAAAAAATTAAGCCAAAGACCCACACACAGTAAAACGTTCAAAGTACAAAGAGGAACCATAATGCGATGAGAGAGGGAGGGGAGAACGCACCTGGAGCTGCACATGCACAAGATTCGAGGTCAGGGAGAAAGGGAGAATGCGTGACTGGAGATTGCGAGAGTGGTGAATCAACTAAGATTAAATTAGGAGGTTGAAATGAAACTCAGATTCTGGAAATGGCATCCCCAATTGGAGTCAGTCTGCAGCTGCAATTCCCACCAATCTAAGATTAGAAAAACGAAACCTAAAAAGGTTTGGTGGAGCAAAGTAGACACCGTGTAAGGACAAACAATTTGAGTAAGAGTCCCTCTTCACTTTAGTCTTCTTGTGGGCTATGATAAAAAACCGAGGGTGAACAATTAGGCCAGCCTGGAGGCTCATGGGCCAGGCTATTACATTAACACTCTGGCCCAATTATGTAATCAAACTTTTACACCAGCCCAAGTCCAACCTGCCAAGTAAAAAGGCCGAGCCAGGCCAGGCCACTAATGGGCCAGGCTCTAGGCCCTTGTGGGCCGGCCTGGCCCAGTTTCACCCATACTAAGCATATTTAACAAAGGAAACTATATCCAATTCACTCTCTAACTATCCATACCATCAAATTTTTGTGCATTATTCATCACAAAACCTAGAATTCTTGAAATTTCATGGAAACAAGAAAAGAGAGGTGATTCTTTAACGTAATGTGCCCAAGAATGAAGAGGAAAGCTTACTTCAAGCTCCCATGGCCTCAAGCTTCATCAAAATTCTTCATTTTTCATGAAATCCAAAATCTTAGGGGAGGAAGAACTCTCTCTCTCTGCAGTGAACTCCACACGAAAATATGGGTACCAATGTGTTCCCCTCGAAATTTCTCACAAGTTTGGCTTTGGAACGAAGTGATTTGAAGGTTCCTAACTCTCTCTATGAATTTTGGAAGATTTTTACGCAAAATCTCTTTTTATCATTTTTTACTCTTTGTCGATCAGTGGAACACGAAGAGGAATAGTAAAGTTATTGAAACTTTTCACTTACATAGGTTAAGTGAAATTTAACTAGGTAAAAACTTATCTATCTAGTCACCTCTATTCATTACCAAGTTTTACCAAATGGACTAGAATATTTTTCTAGTCATGTTTCTATTTTTACTTTTAACTTTTGGGTAATTTTTTCTACTCACATTTTTACTCCTTAACTATCATTTTAACACCTTTTTTTTACCAAATGAGACTTTAATTCTTTTTTTTTCTACTTTTCTTATAATTATTCTTCAATATTATAATTAAAATCATTAACTCATAATTGAATTCACAACCTACATGTGAGGGTTATTATAAGGGTACAACAAACTTGGAAAAGGCCGACATGTGTCCTACTTTTGTTCAGATCACCTAGTTTGCTAGTACCACTAGCGAACTAGGTTGTCATGTCAGCAAACGAAGTTCGTTACTTGTTGCAGCAAACTTGTATGTGTGGTATTTTGGAAAATTTTACTGTTAGCGTGATAGTTAGATAATTTTTTTGTAAAAGTATGGCAAAATGATTACTGTTCCCTTGAACTATGCTATTTGATTTTGTAAGTTTATGCTACACCTTTTTTTTTTACCTCGTGTCATCATTAAACGAAATTAGCAAATATTACCTGTATTGCATATGTGTTTTTTTTTTGTACCCAATAAATTAAAATAAAAATTTCTGAGAGAAAATGTTTGAAATTATAAAGAAATATACATAATTAATTCAAGTAATATAAAAGGTGTACATTGGAAGAGAATGGTAAGCCTCATTCTTTAAAAGAGAATAAACTAAGGGTAAAGTGTGTGTCATTTTAAAGGATGTAAAGTTATATCATTTTAAGAGAGAGAAAGAGATAGATGAAGGAGGAGAGAGAGTTGACAAAAAAAATAAAGGTGTGGACCCTACCTCTTTGTAAGAGTGAAAAGATATAAGTTGTGTCATTTAAAAGGATAAACACTTTTGAGGTAGGATCCTTTGACACTAGTGTCAAATTTGAAATTTGACACCTCATCTGAGAGTCGTTAGATCATAAAAGATCAACGACTCTGATTTGTAAGCATGTGACACCATTGATCTTTTATGATCTAACGGTTCTCAGATGAGGTGTCAAATTTCAAATTTGACACTAGTGTCAAAAGATCCTACCTCAACACTTTTTCCATAAACTAAATATTAAACCACTCTCAATTTAATATATCAAGGTAGAATGATTTAGTAACCATGATCTTTAAAATGAAAAGCTAGTTTTCAGAAATTTTATTAAGCTTGAATATTGATCCACGTGAATAAAATTTGATTAATTAGCCAATAAATATTTTAATTTTCATTGCAATTTCTCGGAAACATGTTTGCTAAAAATGATTTATGAACAAATTAACGTGAAGAGACATTCCTTGTTTCAACTTTCGTTTTGCTTGCAATTTGTTTCCTACCGATTATTGGGGTTCACCAGTGAACCTCCATTTCCTAGCCATTGGATTTGTGAAAATTAAGATGGATGACCTAGTAAAAGTTACTTGCTTAAGAGGTGTGGTTAATTTTGTGTCATTTAATAAAAAAACCTGATGTTATTTTATTTTATTTTATTTATTAGTATTATTTAGTAGAGCAGTCTAGTCCTTCAGTTTTGTTAGTCTCCAACACCACTGCATCAAATGTGAACTTAATTTTTTAGTTGAAATTGGTTGATTTATATGATACTTTCTCATTGCCTCATTTTATTAATAAACAATTAAATGTTGTGAAATTTTTTAACACATAATTGTCCACCCTTCGAGACTCTTATAACAGAACTTGTTAAATATAAATTGTAACCTACACCTAATAGAAATTTTTGGCTTGTAATGACTCTTTAATTCAAACGAATTAAACTCATGATGTAAGACCATTCTTAACTAAGTGTTGTTGGTAGGATAAGCACTAAATGGAGGAACAGATACAAATGCTTGTGATTTCTATACATCAAAAAAAACATCACTTGAATGAAAGCATAGAATTGAACAAGTCATCGTATCATGATGTAGGAGAGAAAAACAAATCAGAAATGTAATCAAACCCTGCACAAGTATGCAATGATAGGTCTCTGAAGAAGGTAATTTGTGTCTCTCTCCTTACATGACATTACTATATGACAAGAGGAGCAAATCCTTTTAGAACAAAGTATACAAAATGAAAAAGAAGGGAGCAACAGCATCATATCTATTTGTCAATTTGGTTAAGTTTTCCCAAACCATTGCAGCGAGCACAAACAATTTGAGCTTGATCTTTCCGTGCTGCATTTGCTCTCAAGGTCACCCCAGCCTTCCGAACAAATCCTGCTCCATCGCATTCAGGGCATCTGCCACATACATATCATTAACAAATCATCCTCAACAACAACCACATAGCATGTACATTCAAATTTGATAAATTTAAATCACCCTAAACATAATTCACTAACGGATGTTTGGTCGAGGAGAATTTTTTTTATCCGAGAATCATGATTTCCTGAAATATGATGAAAAAATGAGTTTTCCGGAAATGTTATCAAAAAATTATTTGATAAGTCAAAATATTCCGAGAATATTGGGTTAATTTTCTTGATGTTATATTTGATTGTGTTAAATTTTTTCTTGCCATGAAAATCCTAAAATACCACCCTTTGAGAGGTATTTTTGGATGGTCTTTTCAGAAAATTTTGCACACAAAATAAAATTTTGGGAAAATCAGATTTATGTGAAACTTTTAGAAATGTCGTACCAAACGAGGATATATAAGATTATCAATCTCAGTTTTCCGAGATCTTAAAAAAAAAATTCTACCAAATACTCCCTAAAAATGTATATTGAAAATAAATAAATAAACTCCACTTCAAATTCTCAAGGATTAAAAGTCAATTTCAAAATAGTTATTAAAAGGGTACCTAATGCTATAAAGCTTAGAATAAGGAGGGCCTATAAGTATAGAACCTTACATAACATTTATAATTAGCTCATTACATTAATCAGACTAAGGAGGGTCACATGGTGACAATCCCAACAACAGTTTAAGATTTCCTTCTAATTTCAATATAATTATACAAGAGTAGAAATTCTTCTCACTCGAATTAATGGTTAAGCAAGTGTAAGATTGTGTCACTATTAGAAATGCACTTAATCTCTAAGGAAATGTAAGATTCTGACAGATAAAAGATGATGTTATTTACGTGTCTTTGCGAGAAAAGAGGATGGGGAAGGCTGTTCCAATGAGGGCCACTCCAATAGCACCAGCAACAAGGTAAGTGGTGCCATCAGCTGATACATCTCCAACTGCTGAAACCACCATTGTTGAAGACTTTTGAATCCTGCCACATGGTACACAAGTTGAGCCTGCAAATGGTACTTTAGTGTTTGAATAAACAGTAGCACGGGTAGATGCTGAAGGTAGGTTAGGTGTATTCTTGGGAATGATAGTATGCAAGGGAGTCATTGATGCCATGTTTCTAGCACAGCACAATCCAAACAAATTATCTTTCACAGTGAAGAAAGAAGATTTGGAAAGTTGAGAACTAAGGACTGAACAATTGTTTTGAGTTATTGGATGTTAACATGACACATAGCATGGTTTTATAATAGAAGATGATTTGGATAAGGACACGTCAGAACTCAAGATTTCTCATGTATTGTGGATAAGACAGGGTGTACAACTTCTGATATTGCTAGCAAAGGATTTCAGCCAAACAGAAAATGAAGCAAGATAGGAGCACTAGTGTCATCCAAGGTTACTCATATGTAACCAAAAGAACAAGTGAGGGTTAAGTTTAGCTAGCTAATTATTTTTGGATTTTCCTGTAAAAAATCAAGACGTTATAATCACAAATAAATTAAATTTATTTACAAAATTCAAATATATAAAGTGTCAAATTAGTAAAATGCATAAATGTAAAACTTATCACATATAACTTGGGAAGGTTATATTTATAAAAATTTTGTTTGCAAACTATACGTACTCCTAGAAATACACTAGATTACACTATGTACTTTTGGAAGTACATAGTATAATTTGTAAAAATTTGTAAACGGATCTTTTCCCATATAACTTACATAATTTAAAGTAAGGAATAATATTTCTCATATTGTAGGAGATAAATTTTATCTCCTACACATATATAAAAATATGTGAGGCTCAAGTGAGACCATATAAAAAGAAAAAAAAAACCTAATATAAAATTATTAGAGAAAAAATAAATCATTTAAAGTATATAAGACTTGTGGTAAACTAAAAAGCAGAAGATGAAATATAAATCAGGCTATTGACGCATTTTTTTTAATGTATTCGCTCTTTTCTTTAATTAATTTTTAAGTTTAATTTTATAAAATACCCTTAGCTAAATTATCGTTTTTTAAGTTGCAAATTTTATTTTTAAGTCTCTTTTCGACACGCATTTTTATTCTTATGTAAAATTTCATTCCGATCCCACAAAATAAACTAAAGTCAGTCTATTAATAGGATCAGCACTTGATTTCACCCAATAATAAAAGAGTGTTAAAGAGTACAATACTAGTATTTTTCAAACGAATATTGGATAATGATTTATATATTTAGTTTTTTAAAATAAAAATATATTCCTATTTTAATTTTATACATAATACAGAGCTATTTTATTTTTTTTGGTAAATCTACAGAGCTATTTTATTGAGACTATTGTAGATTTATTTAAACAAAACTTGTAATTTAAATTCAATAGTGAAGTTGTGAAATGTTCATTGATATAAAAGATCAATAATTTCAAGCTAGAATTTCAAAAGCAAAATGTGATTTTGAACGTTTTCACCACTTAAATTTTCACCTGAGTCATTCTCCCATTTTCAACCTCTTGGATAGTTCAAATGTGATTTTGACCCTGCCAAACTCTGCACGAAACAGGCTATGACTGTCTATATCACTCTTGCATACACAAATGCATCCATACTAAGTGGTTTGACAAATACTTAATCATCACTGCCAACAAAAAGACAATTAGTTAACCTACTAACCACTACTGTCCAAACGGTTCAGTACAAAATTGTTCAATGCAAATATCAGAACTCGCGATTTAATAATTCCCTTCTCAACACATACATATATATCTTGTCATCGTTATAATCTATCTCATGCTAACCACAGAGCAAGCTGGGAAAAAATTAACATCTAGCTTGAAATTTCTTGCTCTTTTTAACCTCTCCACTCGACAGTCTAACAAATCTACTGTCTTAATTTCTGCAACAATAAACTCGTTCCTAAAGCTCATAATAACACACGGTCAACTATATATTTAAAGAGGAACAAAAGGAAGGAAAACAGACCCAAATCAACTAACTTACAAACCCATTATTGAATATCAAGAGGTAAGTAAAAGAGCTTTTATCAATCTTTGCCAAACAGAAACAGTTAAATGTCTTCATGTAAACAACAGTTGATTTTGCATGGCTTCACGAAGATTTCTTTATCTTGTTATACTAGAAAATAGGCTTCCAAGTGTGAAACAATGGTCAAGCAACTTTCAAATTGAAGTCAACAATACTATTGATATGGATTATGAAAATGAAATGTATACATCTTTAGTAAGCAAACTGTTTATATTTCCAGCAATGCTTGTTATACTAACATATGCAGTTCTAAGCTGGTCATCAAGTGATTCAGAAATAAAATAAATGAATAAAAAATCACGGCAATCAAACAAATAAGTACATAAATTACATCAAAAGGGTCATTCATACACTACCAATGCGGGATATGTGGCACTTTCATTGCTTGGAAACTCCAGATATTATATTAATCTGAACAAAATCTAGTCATATAACATATTGATGATTATCAACAAAAAAGAGGATAAAATTGTACCAAAAGCAATATACTAGAATCAACCATCAATAAAAACACCAAATTTCACATTTTATCAACCCATCAAGTGTAAAAACAGATTCTAGTGATTTTAACAAAACAAGGTTGCATTATAAGTTCATAGACAAGAAAATGTTCTCCTAAAATCATGCACAAACTCAATAAAATAGGGGCAATCACATAAGAAAAGATACCAACAGAGGCATTCTGTCATTAATTAAAAGAAAAAAAATAGAAAAACAGAACAAAAAGAGGCATGCAAGTTTGTGGTGTGAGTTTCAGATATCATCAGAGAATTCCTCTTAATAATGCATTGTTAACATCTCAAATCTCTATCCTGGAAAGTAGGTTGCATCAAATGCAACTTAAATTGTCATGTTATTGATAAAAAATGTGAAAAGATTTTGCAGTCAAATATTAGGTATGAGAAAACAGAACTAGAATTAAACAACAAAAGAAAAAAGCAGATGCAATGGTATCTAATGCTGGCATCATTGCAGTTAGTTGTCACTTATTACTTTATTTGATATCTCATTAAAATCAATCAAAGCATCACAATACCCTAAAATTATCAATAGCAGCAGGATACATGAAAAATACCTATGTAAAGTAGATGTGAAGATTATTCAAGTCACCAGCATTTATTTCCTTTCTACTTAGCCAAGATGAAATTTGCAAAAGAAAGTTATCACGCACGAAAAATGTACACCCTAAACCAGATATGCAAGATTGCTTCTTAAATGTAGATTTGACCATTAAAGGCATAGATGAGAATCGATACCTAGATTGACAATTTACTCAGAAGTACCACAATCCTCCATAAATAAGTAACAAACAACACAAAAGGAGGTGGAGCTCTTATTTCAAAGGGTAATCCCTGTTCCTTAACACAGTCCTTTAATGCTACTTGGTATCATTAACAGTAAGTAATGCAATTGCCCCATCCTGAAGGTGAGTCGTGTGACTGAGTGAATTTTTATCTTCGCAAACCAATCACATGGAACAAAAAAGTTTGAAAGTGACAAATGCGATCAAAGTAGACCCACAAATATTAAATGACATCTTATATGAACCTATAAGAAACCAATGTTATGAAGACAAAGAAACAGGTCATGTTAAATCAGCAAAAGAAGTCATAGTTTCAATCACCTAAGAGAACCTCGTTTCCAAATAAATAAGACCCACAACCTATAAGCACTAATCATTCTAACCACCAAAACAAATAAAATTCTTGAAAAAGGAGAGAGATAAAGGAACAGTTAAACAAGATCTACCTCCAATTTCTCATGGCCCGACATAACAACAGCCCGTCTTGCTGTCTTCCATTCTAACGAAACCTTATCACATACAGATATACAAAATCCTCAACTTTCAAAAGTGTCATTCAGCAATTCCAGAGCCGTTTATCAGGTGTAGTTACTTACAGTATGTGAGAAACCTTACATTCTTTTTAAGTGGCTTCCTCACTTGATACAGAAAAGTGCAGAACTATAATCCCAAACGAATACTTAACAAAAATAATAAAAACATGACAAAAATTGCAATTCTCCTAAACCCCCCCACCCAAAAAAATAAAAACAATCAAACTAAAAATTGAAAGTTCAAACTTCACCAGTTGTAATTCCCCACAATTGACCAGGACTACCAGCTCCTCCTTGAGAATCTAGAGAGAACTGTGGTACAACCTAGCACGTGATCTTGCACTCACCCTTGAATTCCTACTTGAAGAACGAGTGAAAGAACTCCTAACCCTCCCAAAATATGACAAAAGATTACGCAATGCACCCCCCAATCCCCTACTCTCCCTTGATCTTCCAACACTAGAATCCCAAGAAATCCTCCTAGGAGCACCACCACCACCACCACCACCAACACCAACACCATTAAACCCACCACCATCCATCTCAGTGTACACAACAGGAAGTTCCCTGCCTCCAATGAACCTCCCCACAGCAAACCCACCCCCAGGTAGCCTCCATATGGTCAACCCCACAGCATCATCCCCTGCACCCCCATCACCCACCTCGGCGGTTGTCGCGGCTGCCGTGGAGGGGAGCTCGTGCCGGCACACCGGGCACGAGTTCCGCACCGACAGCCACGGCACGATGCAATCGGAATGGTACACGTGGCCACACGGCATCTCACGTGCGTCACAGTTCAATTCAAAAGGTTCCATGCAAACGGCACATTGCAATTCAGCATAGACATGACTATGAACGATTTTAATAACCGGCATCGATTCAATTGCGGCTTTTGATGCTGCAGGGGGTGGTGGCCGGTCGAACCGGACCGGGGTTCCTTCTAACTGAGCCAACTGGTCCAGAAGATGGTCGAACCCTGAACCCATTAAAAACTCCGTCACGCTAGCCGGTAATGGTCGAAGACCGGATCCTGAACCGGCGTCGTTGTAGTAGAGCTCAAAGTTACGCCTCTCTGCCGAAACGACATCGTTTCCGCCGCGAAGGACGATTACAGGGTTGAAAGGCGAACGGTCACCGCCGCGAGCAGAACGCCGGCGGAATGTTGGGCTTCTGCTTCCGCCGTGGTCGGAGTGAGAGGCGGCGTCGTCGGTGACGGTATCGAATCGGTGGGAGTTGGAGTGGGTAGGGTTTCTGATTTCTTCGAGGAAACCGGAAGAGCAATCGGGACAGAGAAGTATGGGGTCTTGTTCCGCCACGATCGGAACTCTAACGATGCGGTTGCATCTGTAGCACCAGAACGAAGATCCCAATGACGCCATGATTTTTTTTTTTTTTGGGTCTCTTTCAAATCGCGCAAGAAATAGGGTGATGCTCACTGAGATTGATTCAAGAAGAATTCAAAAATCCGTCTTTGTTTTCTTTGATTTCGGGTGCGATTCGAAATAGAAGACCCCTGGAATTTTCAGGGAAAATTCTCAACTGAGAAAATTGGGTGCGGAAAATAACACACACAGAGAAATGCAAATTTGTAATATGTTGTGTTAAAAAAACATTAATGAAAGAGTCACTTATTTAATAAAAGATTACTTTACTTGTAAAAAAATTAAATTAAAAGGTAAAAAAATACATATATTTAAAACTTTTAATTTTAAAATTATCAAAAATTATTTTAATACATAAGAAATATTTTAGGGAAATAAAAAAATATATTTTACTGGATAAATATATTATTGTATTCAATATTAAAAGAACAGAATGAAATATTGATTGAATAAATTAAAGAAAGTACAAAATTTCCTTAAATAAATAACTAGTTAGAAAAATATTAATTTAATTTAAAATTAACTTAGAAAATATGTATCACAACATGAAAAATAAATGCAAATGTGAGGTGAGAGTGTATATAAAGTTTATGGCAATATGAAGAATAAGGATTTGAGTTTGGTATAAAGTAAATATTACAAGTAAGAATACATTAATAATCTATGCTCTTTATTACTTGAATGAAATTGGATAAGTTGCTTAGTTTATTGAAGAGATAAGTGTATTTTACTATGGTAATAATTTGTCAGGAAAATTTACATAAACTCAATACAAATGTTTCATAATTGTATTTTGAGAGACAAAATATTCCTTGGCATATTCGTTTCTAGTTTTGCTAAACTATGTACATGTTCTTATGTCTCTTCTCCTCTAAGGAGTTATAATAATAAAAATTAAAAAACAACAAATGGGTAGGCTATTTGAGTATTTGTTATTGGAAAATATTAACTTCATGTCACAGAGACAAGAACTTTCTTCTACACACTCAAAAGATATGGGTTCTATTTCAATTTTTTTTCTCTTTTCTCGTGCAATAAAATATGAGACTCACATAAAATTGTGAGTACAACATGAGATGAATGCATAAGAAAATATAATCCTATTTTACACACTTGAAACGCCTTCGAGGATTGGCTCCGGCAAAACTATTTTTATATTTTTTAATTATTTTATTGAGTTTCGCGGATCTTTTGAGGAACACATTAAATTTTTTTTTTTTTTTTCTCTTCATGTTCTCCAAGGATTTCCTAGGAAATTCACTGATCATATCCTATGACGTGATCTCAATTATCCAAAGTCTTTAACCTTAAAATAATATAAATGAGTTCCACAAAAAAAATTGCGAAACTCATTAAAATAATTTAAAAAATATAAAAATAATTACGTGGGAATAATCTGCAAATCTAAATACTTCCTATAAAAAAATAACTTTGGAGGTGTAGCAAATGAGCAAAAATAACATTCTTGCAGCCCAAATGGGTGAAAGAAAAAAATCTTCTCTACAATTTTCTATTCAGTCTTGAAAACGATAAACCCGTGAAAAAATATAATTAAAAGGAATTTCAACATTTTGCGATTGATTCATCTCAAAAAATTTGTCTCTTACTTTCTAAGTACGAAAACTAGTCATTATTTAAAAAAAATAAAAATAAAAAGGACCAACTAGTAATATTCCAAATAACTAAAAAATTGCTAAATCTTTCCTCTTTTTATCTTAAATTATTGATAGTCATTATTTAAAAGTAATATTAATATGACAAATTTTTTTACGAATCTCATCAAAACAAACATGGCATGAATTTATTCTTAGAAACTTTTTCATTATGTGTATCATCTTATATCTCTATCTCATTAATTGTTCAGCTCTTCATAATATTTTCATGAAAGATAGCATTACTTTATTTAAAATGAATGGCATCAAATTCCAAAGACAAAAGGAAATATGCTAACATATAATATACAATTTGACAGTGTTTTTTTTTAGCATTACCTTCAACTATAATCTATTGAGTTTATTAAGGATTTTGGAATGAAGTCATAAGTGGCTCTAAAACTAGAGGTGTCAATTATTTACTAAGACCATAATTTCTGTTCTACATTAGGAGATTAGGCCTAATTTGTAGCTCAATTCTAACTCTTTACTACAAGAAAAAATGTCAATATTCCCGTTCTTTTTCCTCTAACAATCCATCATTGTAACAACCTCACCCCACAATTGACGCCACTCTCTACATTAATTAGAAGAAGACCATTTGCCAATTTGGTCATCTTCATGCCAGTCATCCTCTCCCTTGATGCCTGTGACATAGGTGAGTTCAACGAAAGTTGCAATATAGGTGATCTAAAGAGACAGGTGAAGGAGATCGACTCCAATGGTTAGCCGAGAGCTAAAGAGGATTCATATAGAACTTAATTACACTTGGCAATGATAGTAATGTACCAAACCCTAACAAATCAAGATAAGTACCAAATTTCTTTTTGTTTTGGAGAAAATAAAGGTGTGTGTTATGGAGCTGACATAAAGGTCCATATTCTAGAAGACTCAATAAGGGCAAATAGTTAAAAGAGAAAATAAAGAAAGATTCTCAAAAGATATCAATCCTATTATATCTTCAGCAGATTATGCATAGGACCCCAAAATACACCGAAAGTCCAAAATTCTACTACTCACAAGTAAATTCTATAAAAAGAAGGTAAAGCCAACAGACATGACAGTTAGTCTCTTTCTCTTATTAGATATCACTTTCCATACACTCCATGTCTTGGCTACGTTGTTTTCTTATTGTGCACAGTGATCCGCTAGTCTCTAAGGTATCTCTCATATAGATACCTAACATATGTCATACAGATCCTATAGAAACTCACCAATCGTCAGATTGGACATTATGATCCACTTAGGATCAAATATTGGCATTGTATGTAAGAAAGGTAAACTTTTACCCCCACTTCATCATAGTGAACACAAGGAACACTTCCATTAGTAACCAGCAACAGTCATCGCTGCCGTCACCTCACCACCACCGCCGAGCGGAGCAACCACTCAACAGACCCGGACCTCAACCTGAGCTCGGATCCAAGCCAGAAGATAATTTCATCCATGTTAGCCACGCAATGTCGGACTCGGCATCCACCCCAGGACAAACCAACCCTAACTTGTTCAGTCAACCCCAACTGCAGATGTTGGCAACCACATAGCTTAGACTTCCCTCTATGCCATCTTGCGCCAAATGGAGGAGATGGAAAGTAGGTATCTGATTCAAAGTCGTCTAGATGCATAGAGAATAAGTGAGTTGGAAAGTCAACTTCTCCAACCCAACGACCCAGAACATGGCATAGATTAGGTCTGAGGTGAAGGGAATGAGCAAAGACAGAGAGGTCGGGATCGTGAGAACAAAAGAAATGAAGTGTAACACCTCGTAGTACTCCGGTTGTTAACATACATGATATTTAACATTCACAGCGGAAGATTTTATTTGAAAAGGAATAAAACATCTTATAAAAATACGAGTAAACTTTTTCCAAAACATTTTATAAAAATATTTCAAAAAACGTTCACGTGAGATACTGCGAAAGCGTAAATCTAAACATACATCTAGTAATTAATCCCATGAGCCAATATTAGTGGCCATTGACCATCAAGATATGACATCAAGTGTCATTCTTGACGGAGTCTCACGAACAGCATAACAACTGTATTTTGGATAATTGGGAACTTGGTCCCACACATACAGTTAACCTGATAAATATAATAATTTAAACAGACAGCTTGCAAGTCCCACACGGACTGCAATCCCCTCAATGGGTCAATACAAACAAGAAGGCTCCATGCCCAAATTAACTGAATGCATACATCAAGTCTATATTATTTCAAATTATAAAAACATCAGTAATTAATCCATAGCTCTAAGGATACAATCATGAGCCTAAATAAACACATACAATAATCTCCATAAAATAATTCAGCATGTTAACAAGTCTACATGCTAACATCAAATCTAAACATAATATAAAATCATCAACTGCATCATCATCTACTCCAATGCGGAGGCTTTGTCCCTAGAAGCATCACCACTACTCTGTGTACCTGAAATGATGTCCCCAAACGGGGTGAGATAACATCTCAGTAAGCTCAAGGTTCATAGAGGATCCTCTAATCCCCTGAGCCCACTTCCTGCATGACAAGTCAGATATAAAGCATATAATACAAACATACAGCAAAAACATAGCATCATCATATCATCCTTGTGTAACCCCAGGGTCAAAGCCATAGACAGTTACACATGTGTGACTTCCAGGGTCAAGCCATAGACAGTCAACACAACCTCAGTATGAAATAGCTCCCACAGTTAAGTCATAGGCAGCCTACATACCATGATCACTGGCCAGGATCCTCATAACATATATCATCAGTGCATCATCATAACATCAAGATAATATAACAACTATATGAATGTGAATGAATGCACATATACATCATACCATATACTTTCATACAATATAACCATAATGACCACCATCATGGTGGGGCCACAAGAGAGAGGAGTCAACTAGAACTAAGAGCTTACCTCAGGGAGCTTAGCACAAGCCCACACTCCAATAGTATACGTATGTTCCAACAAAATCCTCAAGTGTACGATTCTCTAGGCACACCTAGAGTAGGAACCATTCACATCATTAATTACATATTAATTAATCAAGTCATATCCACGAATTAATCATTTAATGATTTCACTTTTCATACTCATATGCCAATAATATGCCCATTACAAGTCTAGACCAATTATTACATAATTACGTATTTTAGTGCATTATTACAAGCTACCTAAATCTTCAATTAATTACATAACTTAGAATCACATGCAAGGCTCACTTAGGTAACTTAGATTATTTTCAACTTTTCAACTCATCCAAGCCATGTTTATGATTATTATAAGTTACTAAGGGTTCCCCTAAGCCTACTTAGCTTAAATATTACTTTTACGATTTTTCCATAACTGTACATGCTTCTATTTTCTAGTCACTGAGCGTAACTCACTTGTTATAAAATTCTCATCTTTTAGTATGTTAATATAGACTCAATTACCTTTCCAAAAAGGTATCACATGTCTCATTTAGAGTTTCCTAACTCCGGTTATCACCATTTGAAGTTGGACAA